GAAGACCCAGTTGAGTCCTGTCTCTGTGCTGTGCAGCTGGGGTGAGTGACTTAATTTCTCTGGGCCTCCGTGAGGCCACTCTGAAGGTAGGAGAGTCTCTTTGATCCCTGGGTCCCTGAGCTTGACCTTGGAGGACCAGATCATAGGGCCAGAGAGGGTGGGCTAGAGGAGACAGCTGGGGTGCTGGCGAGGCCATGGATTTGCCGCCAAACCTGATTTTTGAAACTTGGTTCTGCCGCCCCTTGTTACCCTTATCATATCGAGCCGGTCACTACCTCCTTCTGAGCCTTGGGTTCCCTTCTGAAAAACGAGAACTTAGTACTTGCTGCTCGGGGTGTTGTGGGGTGCAGAGGAAGAAATAAGCAGGAGTGCCTCAACTTGTCTAGACTTCAGGAAACCTCCTGGGTGAGAATCACCCAGAGGCTGCCGAAGAGGGTGCGGGGTGGCTCATGACCCGTAGGGGGCGCTGGAGCCCGGGAGAGCGGCTGGAGGTGGCTTCCAGGTAACCCCCGCCACAGGAGTGGGGACAGGAGTCTGAGAAGGAACAACCAGAGAGGTTGGGGAAAGGGTGGAACATTAGAACATCCGATCTGTGGACGTGAGGCCCCACCCCCAAACTGAGCTCTTCTAGTTTAGGAGTGTAGCAGGATTTTGCCCGCCCCTGAGATTTTGCACAAGACCGAAGCACTGCCGGACACTCCTCCCCACCTAGTCTTCTCCATGCTAGCTGACTTCTGATCTCGGCTTAATATGTAGCCTCTTCCAGGAAGCCTTCCATGATGCTTCACCCCTCCAGGTGAGGTTGGGTACCCCTGCCACAAGGCCTCTCTGAACCTCAGCTGAGCTTATACCACAGTCTATGTCCTTGAGGCACAGACCACTGAGCCCTGGTTCTCAGCCTGGTAGCTGCCACTTAAAGTCCCCCTCATGCTGGTTGGTTGAATGAAAGAATGTGTTGGGAAACAGAAAAGAGTGGGATGGGATGGATGCATCTGTCTAAAGCATGGAGGTGGTTTGGGGCTGGGATGGACCGAGGATACGGTGGTGAGGATTATGGGATGGGACAAGGAATGGGCTGGGATGAGAACGGGGACCCCGAGCCCTCTCTCCTCCTTGACCTGCTGTCCCTGGTGCCCATGGAGAAGCCCCCCCCATGCCTCGTGCAGGACTGGCTCCCGCCGGGTCCCTCCCGCCCCCCCACCAAGGAGAGGCAGCACAGGCGTGTACAGGTTGATTTATTTACAAATATACTGATGTCTCATCTTTTGTTGGTGTTTCCATTTTCTGCTTTTGTGGGAAGAGGCAGAAGGTGAGCGTGGAGGGCAGGGTGGGGGGAGTGATGTGGTAGACGCTAATAAATAATTTAACAATGACAAGTTATTAAATAAAATGTGTCTGGGGATGGCGGGTGGGCAGTGAGAGTCTGTACAAGGAAAACAGAGGAATGGCCGATGGCCGGTCCCCACGCCCAGCTGGGCTGGGCTCCTGTGCCGGCAGACAGGCTCTTGGCAAACTGCATCTTCCAAGGGCCAAATGGTGGAGGGTCCTTCCTGCTCCCCCAGCCCTCAGGCCTCATGTGCCTGGGAGTGTGAGTAGGTACGTGAGCCTCCGTGTGCGTCCGGGGTGAGTGTGTGTCTGTGCGTGTGTGTGTGCGTGTGGACCCTCTTCCCCGCAGGGCAGAATGAGCCCCAGAGCTGCAGGTTCTCCCAGACCTCAGGAGGTGCCCAGAGCTCAGGCCAAGCAGGGGTCAGCCGGTTTGCCCTCCCCGAGAGTGGAGAGAGGGATGCAGGCTCCACAGGGGTGGGTGAGGCAGCCTCACTGCTGGGGGGCAGCTGAGCCCCCTAAAGGAGAAGAGGCCTCCCCCCAGCCCTGCGACAGGGGCCTGACCTCGCTTGTGCCCTGCTTGCCCGGAGACAGTGGACTCCTCTCCTCCCTGTCCTGGGAATCCTCCCCACATGCCCAGCCCACTTGCCCTGACCTCTTCCCCTACAGGCTCTGCCTGCCCTACAGTGGGACCTTTGGGACTATAGGGTCCCTTTGTCTGTGCGGCCCCCCAAGAGGCTCCGTGGAGCAGGCAGATGAGGCTCTGGCTGGGGGCAGGACCCCACCTTCTTGTCCCTCCTCTGCCTTATCTGCTGTGTCACTTGGGGCAGAGTCCCTCCCCGTGCCCACCTCACACTTTCTGCCTCTTCCTCTGGGCCAGAACTTGACCTCCCTCTTCCCTTGGGCTTCCCATCCCAGCCACCACGAGTGATGACGGTTGGGGTGGGGAGTGCTCCTGGCTGCTCACCGCGCCCCCGGTCAAGGCTGCACTTCCTCCCACATGCGGTGGGAAGAGCCGGCTTGTCCCACCTCACCCCAGACTCCAGCGAGCCTGCTTGCCTCTGCACGCTTCTGCGGGGTGACCCTGACCGCCGGCCACCTTTCTCTGAGCCTCGGGTTCCTCATCTGAGAAATGGGTCCCCACTAACATTTGGACAGAGCTGGGTCAGAGTGTGAATGTCTCTCCTTCTAGAAGAAAGCCCCTCAAGGATGAGCCCTACATCTTGTTCATCTGTGTCTCCACGGCCCATCCGGGGCTGGGCAGGGTGGACAGCGGATGTTTGGGGGAGCCTGAGGGAACAGAGGACAGTGAGCCGCAGCACATGGCAGTCACCTGACCATGGCTGATGGGGCATCTCTGGCCCATGGGACACTCTGAAGTCTCTTTGGCTTTGACCATCTGTGGGACGTGAGTGTGGGCGTCTATGAACCAGCGCCCCGCAAGGAGCAGTGCACAGCGAGGGCTGAGCCTGGGCTGGACTTGGGAGGTTGTGAGGCCCCAGATGGGCTGGCAAGACAGATGATGCCCCCGACCTCGAGGCCCTTCACCAGACCAAGAAGATGAGGGGGTGGCATGGTGCCCCTTCTCCCTCTCCTCTCCCAGGCCGGGCTTTCCAAGCTGGGATAAAGGGAGTGGACCAGATGCCCATTTCTGAGCTTCCTTCTGACTGTAAGAGTCTGGTAGAGAAGGACCAGGGCCCCTGGGGGCTGGGGGGGGGTGCTGCCCCGGGCCTGCCCCAAGCACCCCCAGCATGATTTGGACCATGTGAGCACAAGAGGAGGAAGGGGAGCATCTCTCAAGAAACCAGCGTGGCTGCCTAAGGAGCCACTGGTGGCCCAGGACAAGAGATGGTACAGCACCCAGGTGGGCTAAGGTTGCAGAAAACCAAGAACAGCGGCCGAGATCCCTGTGGGAGTTCGTGTGGTACAAGGAGGCAGGGCCAGGCTGAGAGCTGCCTCGCCCGGCTGACAGCCCTGGGGAAGAGCAGAGGACACTTTGGAGCAGCCTCGGGCTCCCCACTGGACATAGGAGCCAAAGCACGGAGCAGGCTGGCAAGTGTGGAGAATCCCAGAGGGGGCCGGGCGGAGGGGCCCAAAGGCCGAGAGAGACGCCCACGGTCCTATTTGCTCAGAGGCTGGGCCAGGCAGATCTCAGGGTGGCAGCCTAGGGCTTGGTGTCAGAATTACAGGCGGGGCTCTGAGCACCTGGCGGAGGACACAGCGTCCACCAGAGGCCAGAGAGGGGTCACCGAGAACAGGACCCCTCAGCCTGACCTCACTCTCTCTTTTGGCAGGGTCATTGCTGAGTGGATCTGGGCTGGGAGCTGAGGCAGCCCGTCTGGCTTCCCGCGGGGCATCTGACAAAACGGGCTGGATGTGCCCTGGGACGAGTCCTCCGAGGAGGACTGGTTCACGGGCCCACACCGGACGGGAGAGGCGAAGGCAGTTCGTGTGCCTCGGGTGAGAAGCGCAGGGCTGACTCCTGACATGACAGGGACAGCAAGCCAGTGTCACAGAGCTGGGGGTGCAGAGAAACTCCACAGGCCAGACTGAATTAAGGAAGAAGAAATGCGGCAAATAAAAAAGCCAAGGTCCTTTGCGGGATCTAAACAGTAAGTGTCGTTCCCCGACATACACACCGGAGGGCCCTGTGGCCCCTCAGTCGTGTGTGTGAGGGTCAGGGATCCAGTTACAGAAGGGCAGGGTGAGTTTCCAGATAATGTGGTCTCATTTTGGGCCACATTAACAGAGGCCTGGCGCCTAAAGCCGGGGAGGTAGCTGGCTGATACCATGGGGAGATTGGGTTACATCTGTTCCACCTTTAGATTGAAAGCTGGAGCCCAGCTGAGGGTACAGTTTTAGGAGAGAGAGCCGGAGAGACTGGAAGAGCCTGGCTTTGAGAAGTGAAGACTTGGGGCTCAAAGAGGCAGAGGCCAAATCAGCAGAGAAGGGCAGCTGGCCTGGGGCGGGATGAAGCAGCGGGCTCCCCACCGCGGGAGGTACTCCAGAGGTAGAGGGAGCCAAGCTTCGGACAGATGACGGGCCAAGTAGGTGATTCGGGATGTCCCTTTCCGCCTACAGGCTCTGCCATTTGTCCCACCTGCTTCTGGGGGCCCTGTCTCTGCCTTGCCTGCTCAGGCAGCCCCCCATTTAGGCTGAGGCTAGGATACACCTGCGTCCACATGTTTCAAGCCCCAAACTCCCCCTCCCTCCCGTCCCCTCCTTCTCTCCTATTGCTGTAAGATGGGGTCCCTGCCCCGGTCTGGCCTCTTTCCCCTTCCTGACGGGTCAGGGCTGGCCCCCAGAGCGCCTCTGTGTCTCTTCAGCTTGTGTGTGTACCTGCGCGCGGATCCGCATGGCCTTCGGGGCTGTGTGCGTCTGCAAGTGAGGCTCGGTCTACCCTCCCCAGGGACTCCCTCTCAGGGCAGAGCCGTGGTGGGCTGGGCACACCTGCCAGGCTCTTCCCCACTTCTGTTCCAGATTCGAACTGGGACGGGTGAACCCAGGCTGGTGGGCTGGCTCTCGGAGGTGGGGGAGCTGGGCATGAGCCCCGCCCGCGCACAGGGACACTCCCTCACAGGTGACACGCACCACACACAACATGGTCGCCTTGGGGCATGCTGGGGCTGTGGCGGGGCAGGGGGCGGGGGGCGGCTGCCTGGACCTAGGCCCGGCCCCTGGAGGTTGGCTGGACACAGAGAGGACATTTAAAAAAATAGAGAGAATTTAAGCTTCCCAAAAAAGAGATGGGTAGGGAGAAGGAGGCGATGGAGGCCTAGGTGGGGCTGAGAGGCGAGCGGCTTTCCGAGACTCTGGGTCCCTGGGATGACACGGTCTCTGCCGGCAGGACGTGGCCCTGCCCAGGCTGCGCCCGTCTGCCTGCCCGGCCGGCCCGGGAAAGGGCACCGTATGGCTGTGTGTAGAGTCTGTGCGGGCGGTGGGGTTGGCCCTGGCGGCCGCAGGCCCCCCCCCCAGGACCCTGGCCCAAGCGTCCAAGCGGCCGGCTGGCTCTCAGGAGGCGAAGTAGGAACTCTGCATGGAGTAGAGCCTGTCGATGGGGTTCCCCACGCGGGCCTGCAGGGAGCCCACGTCCGAGGAGCCGAGGAAGCAGTCGCTGAGGCTGGTTAAGGAGGTATCGCTGTCGATGTCATGGAAGATGGAGTCGTTCCCTGGGGGCAGAGGGGGCGTCAGGAGCCGGGCAGGCGTGAGCTCCTGGGGGCCCTTTCGGCCCTGCAGCCTGTGCGGCCAGAGGTGAGGAGGGACGGGGTGACCTGTGGCGGCGGTGGGGGGCCAGAGGCGCTGAGGGCCGCAGGTGGGGCCTCGCGGGCACCCCCTTCCGATGGGAGGTGGCAGGCAGGCAGGTTGTGTCGGCGTGGCCTGCCGGCCCGGGGGTGCTAGGCGGGGGCGGTGCTGGGGTGGGCAGGGGGTGGGGCGGCTTACCATAGGGGTTCATGTGGTCACCTGGCATTTGGGGCGGCGTGAGGCCCTGCTGGAAGGGGTCGCTGCTGCCGTAGGGACTCTGCTCCATGGCCACGATCTGCTGCTGGGGTGGGGCCAATGGCGTGTAGGAGGCCATCATGCCCTCCATGCGACTGGACAGGACCTCTGGGGAGAGAGCACACTTTCACCAACCCGCCCTGTCCATCTCATCCCAGAGCCCACGCTGCCCCAGGGGTGCCCTCCCAGATATACCTCAGGCCTTCCCACTGATCGCCCATATGACTCCCCAAGGCCACGGGGCCCACTGCAGTCCCCCTGACTCTGACCTCTTCTGCACTTCCCCAGGTTGCCTGTGGTGACCCAGGGCCACTGAACCCATGTATCTGACCCCTGACTCCTTTTCCCCAGACACACACGAATAAACACATAGATAAACAGAGGAATCGGTTTATCAAAAGCCAGGGATCTCCCCTCCCCACCTCCTCCCTTCCTCCAGTGGCCCTGCCCTCCAGAAGCTCAACTCTTCGGGGACACAGACACTAAGCAGGCCGTCATGATTCCTCAACATGTGGGTGCAGTGAGCTCCCTGCATCTGGGAGCATCAAGGTGGGGCCCAGGCCAAAGGCGTTCAGGGAAGGCTTCCTGAAAGAAGGGAACCCCTAACTCCACATCACTTAAAGAATCAGCAGGGGTTCAACCATGCCAGGGGCAGGCATGCCCTGCCTCAGGCTGCAAAGGCGGGGAGGGGAGAAACTAGCCAGTGGGAGCAGGGAGCCCTGTGCATGGGGCTATAGTGCCAGGATGAGAGAAGGCCAGGAGTGGGGCGGAAGATGGTCCTCTGGGCGCCCCCCCCCCCCCCGCAAACCAACCCCAGAGCTCAGTGTGGTTCCCCCTGAGGCTGTAGGAAGTCTGCTGTGGGAGGGGCTGTGGAGAAAGGCTGGCAGGATGGAGGCTGGAGGCAGGGACCACTGAGGAAACTGAGGGAGGGGCTGGGTTTCTAGCCCCTCCCTCCCTTAAGGTGAGCTGGAAATGACAACTCCCAGGAGGGGGCATGAGGGACACAGGAGCAGCCTCCACGGCCCTGCTTGGCAACCGAGTGGAGGACAGGAGGGTCAGAGGCGACTCCCAGGTTCCTGGTGTGGGCACTGGGTGGAGGGTGGTGCCGTTTGCTGAGGTGGGGTGAGGAGGGGCAGAGGGTGCTGTGCCAATGTGGCAGCAGGGGCTGCTGTGTGCAGTATAGGAAGGGCCCTGATGAGCTCAAGCGGGACCATGGAACATTCTGGGGCATGACCATGGAATATCCCAGAGGCAGCTGGGAACACAGGAGGTGGTGGCTGGGAGACCAGAGACAGTGGCCATAGCCCCAAGGAGGCCAGGCTGTCTTGGGGGAGGGGGGAGGCTGGGGCAGAGAGAAAGAACTGGGTTTCAAGGCTCCAGTGCAGCTGGGGACCCAGGCCTGGCCCTGAGCCCTGATAGAAGAGGCTGTCCATCAGTGCCCTGGCATCTGCCCCAAAGCCCGCGTCTCACCTGGGAGCAGGCAGCCCTGGGGCCCCCACTCCTCTTGGGCAGTCCCTACAAAGCTCAATGTCCCCATGGGGCTGGGGAGGCCACCCCCCCGACCCAAGAAGTGGTAACATTTTGGCAAAGCCCAGTGTTCAGGGGTCTGGCCGCTGCCCCTCCAGCTGGCTCCTTACCACCCAGCAGGAACCCACACTGAACTCAACACCCCGCAGAGTCTCTCTCGAGATTTCTGCTGAATTCTGTCGTGGGCAGTGAGGTGTCTGGTCACGTGAAAACCACAGCTTTGGGATGCCACATGTGGGGCCGAGGCCAGCTTTGCCCCTCACTCGCTGAGCCAACCCAGTAAGTCCTCTGGTCTGAGTCTCCGCCTCCTTGGCTGTGAGATGGGCTGTGACAGTGCCCTTCCCCTCCGGGATCGGTGGGCATTCCGAGAGGCTGAGCATGGCCAATGGTGACAACTGTGCCTAGCACACCCTGAGGGTGCGAGATGCTTGCAGGTATTTTGGGTTTTTTGTTCGTTTTTAAGTAAGCTCTAGGCCAGACACGGGCTTGAACTCAGGATGCTGAGATCGAGAGTCACACCTTCCACTGACTGAGCCAGCCAGGCATCCCAGGGGCGAAAATTCTGCCACCCCTCGGCGCAGCCCACACTGCCATCTCTCCTGGGGGCCCCCGTGGTCCCCACCGGCTCTCTTGATCCCAGCAGGTTCCGGGGCGCCAGCTCCCACAGCCCTCACGGCCCTGGTGGAAGGGGTCCGGGGTCCGGGGTCCAGGGGGTGGGGGAAGAGTGCTGTTACCAGAGGCTGAGCCTGGGCCCTGTCGCCCTGGTCCCGGCTCACCTTGGCCCAGCCGCTGCGAGTTCTGCTGCTCCTGCTGCTGCTGGTGCCGCCGCGCCAACTTCTTCATCTGCAGGGGACACTTTTGGGTCGTGCCAGTCCCCACCTCCCCGTCCCCGTTCAGTCCCGGCCCCTCCCAGCAGGACCGTGTCTTCTGCCTGCACCCCCACTCCAGCCCTGCCCAGCGGGGGCAACAGGTGGCCTCTCACCTTGGCTCTTTGGTTCTGAAACCACACCTGGACCACACGCACGCTGAGGCCTGTCTCTGCCGCCAGCGTCTCTCGGACCTGTCCGTGGGGAGGGACACGGATCAGGCCTGGGGGCGGGGGCCGGGGCAGCAGGCCAGGGAGGCAGTGGTTTGGCGGAACTGAGGGACGGACGGGGGAGATGGAGGGATGTCCCCATCCCTGGCAAGAGTGGTAGGGGGCACTGTCTGGGAAGGCAGCGGGTGTGGGGTGTCAGCCCCGCCCCACCCCAGCGGCCCCTCACCTTTCGGCAGGGCTTGGAGGACACCTCGAAGGAGGCCTTGAAGGCTCTTCGCTGCTGCGTGGTGAGGATGGTCCGGGGTCGCTTGGGCCTCCGGGGGTCTTTCCCGTCGTCCCCACTGCCTTTATTCTGGCTGCCCTGCCCCTTGGCCGGCTTCATGTCCCCGTCCTCGTCCTCGCTCTTCACTGTGGGGGACACACCCAGCTCATCAGTCTTGTACGAGGGTCTCAGATTGGTACCCGGAGGCCATCTGTCGCCTGGCGGGATCCCCTCACCTCCTGCCAACACCAGCCCCCTGCACTCTGGAGACCCCAGGGCAGCTTGTCAGCTCTGAAAAACTGGTTCCCACTGTCCCAGCCCAGGGCCAGTGGGTCCCACAACCCAGCGAGGAGACTCCGGGGAGCCTTCTTTCTTGGAAGCTTCCAGAGACTACTAAGAACTGTCAGGCAAAGCTATACACCAGACATTGTCACACCCAAGTATTCATGATGACCGCACGCACACCACACACACAGTTACACACTCACCCACTGACGTGTGTGCACGCACACTGGCACGTGGGCCCACAGAGCACGGGGCACACACAGCTCATGCACACACACACACACACACACACACACAGGCCCGTGCTCACAGGTGGGGACATACAGGCAAGCACACACCTGAACACACGCACACACGCACGCACACAGAAGCATGTTTGTTCACCCAGAGACACACCCATGCCCACCATGCACACACGGCCGCTTCCGTGTCCCAGAATTGTGGGTCTCAGAGATGCCAGCCCCAGGCGGACACCATGCACCTCCCACTGTCCCCAAGTCTAAGCTGGTCTCCTATTCCCAGGCCCACCTTCCTCAGACCATGAGCCCCGGGGTTGGGTCGCCTCCCTCCAAGACCCCCACCCCAGGCCCGCTAGGAATGGGCCAACGGCACCTGGCTAGTGTCTGCTCTGCTCTAAGAGCCCAGGAAGCCACCACGGTGCCCTGCCCATGGGTGGACAGAGGGACAGATGGATGGGGAGCTCACTTCCTCCAAGGACACCGACAGGACAAAGCTCTTCTGGAAGGCCCTGTGACTGAGGGCTCTAAGTGACCCCCAAGGGCTCTGAAGACCAGGCCATCTCCTCGCCAAGCCCTCTGCTCCAGTCCTTCCCCACTCCCTGGGAATGACAGGGCCCCAGCCTTCTCCCTGGCGCTTCCCTTCCAAGACTCACTCCCGGTTGTACCCGCCCTTCTGGCAGGAGGGCTCTAAGCTGGCACAGCCCTTCTGGGGGCTGGAACAGAATAAAGAGGTACCTTCATCCTGGGAAAGGGGGTCTTTGCCTCCACCATAGAACGCCCCCGGCCCCCCCACCCAGCCAGGAAACTGAAGAGCTCAGGCTGCTGTCCCCTGCTCCTGAAGGCTGTGTCAGAGCCCTGCTTCGTGGCCACCAGCAGCCTGCAGATCTGGGCAGGCAGGGACACCTGCGGTGCTGTGCCATGGTGGGGGCCGCAGCAAGGCAAAGGGCGGACAAGGAAGGGGGGTCAGAGAGCAGGGTATGTGTGTGTGTGCTTGTGTCCAAACCGCAGTCCGGGTAAGCATGTGGACAAATGTGTGTGCAGCCGTATGCATCACTGCTCCGTGCACGTGGGACGTGTGAGCGGGGTCATGTGTGCACGTGGGTGTGTTTAAGCGGACACGCAGTGCGTGTTCCTGGGTGCGGGTTCGCACGTGCTTGGGCATCTCAGCACACATCTACAGGTGTCCCTGTGTCCGTGCTTATGTGCCCCTGGGCATCGAATGTGCTTGTGTGCGGACACGTGTGGTCCCATGCACGTATGCTGGGGCATGAGCACGTGGGCCCCAGTGGTAGTGTCCGCACATGCTTTGTGGGCCTGGGGGCATGCACACCGGTGTCCACCGGCGTCTGATGGGGGCGCACTGTCTGTACATAGCTCGGGTCCTGGGGTCAGGTTTGGGCTTCTCCAGCGGCGCCCCGCCTCCGGCCCCCCAGCTGCCCCCCACCAGCTCCAGCCACGGCTCACCAGAGTCGGATTCGTCGGGACTCACGGAGCTGAGCAGGTCCTTCTCCTTCTCGTAGTCCCCCTTGCACAGCAGCTGGCCCTCCTTGAGCACGAACTCGTCGCCCTTGCGTAGCTGCCGCTCACACACGCAGCAGCAGAAGCAGCCCAGGTGGTACACGCATTCCAGCGCCCGCATCACAAACTCCGTGGGGGCGATCTTCTCCATGCAGCCGCTGCACTTGGCTGCGAAGAGCCTGCAGGTGCACAGGGCGGGCTCGTTGGTTTGGCTCGGGGCGGGGGGCTCCCCGAGTCTGCTGTCCACCAGGGGCCTCTCCCTCCTGCCACCCTGACTCCCCCCACCCCAGATAGGAGAGGCCCCACCCGCGCACAGAGCCAGACTGTGGGAGGGCCCCGTGGCCCCACTCTTCTGGCTCCCCAGGGCCCTGGTGGCCCAAGGGTGGGCTCTGGGCATCCTGCCCTGAGGTGCCCTCTCCTGGGCGTATCAGCTCAGGGCCCTGCTTGCTCCGAGACACCGCGGCCACTAGAGGGCAGAACACGTGGTCAGCCTCAACCTTCCTCAAGAGCCAGGCGGGTTCTGGGCCTGAGAAGGGCAGGCGGCCTCCTGGTCCCCTCTCCCCTCACTCCAGGACCTGCTCTGCCTCCTCTCTGCTCTCCCCTCTCTCTCCCACATCCAGGCGATCCTGAGCCCTGTCCGGCCCACCACCCAGGCTGGGCTGCTCCTCCGCTGCCTGAGTGCCTGCCTCAGTCCTCCTCCTGGGCTCCTGGCTCCTCCAAACCTTCAATTCACCCTCCAGGATGAGAGCCAGAGGAAGCTAAAACCCACATCTGCTCATGCTGCTTCCCTGCTCCAGACTCTTCCGTGACTCCCTGGGGCCTCGAGGCCCTTCACACCCTGCCTCTTTCTGCGGCCCCGATGGAACAGCCTGCGGCGTCTCCAGGGCACCTTCCCACTGGCCTGTCAGCATGTTCTTTCTTGGTCCTCAGCTGGGCTAACCCCTGCCTATCCCTCATTTCGGCTCGAGCATCTTTACCACATGCAGATGTCTACTGAGCCCAGACAGTGTGGCAGCCGCTGCTCTAAGTGCTCTGCACACAGAAATGCATGCAATCCGCAGTGACCCGATGAGGCAGGAATGCACCTTAGCCCCATCTCAGAGATAAGAAAACTGGGGTGCAGAGAGATGGAGTCGCGGGCTCAGGGTCACATGGTCATAAGGGATGAGGCCCACCGGGAGCCTGGTACTGCCCCAGCCCCTCCATGACAAACCGGATCCATCTCCCATCTCTGGAGACAAAGCCGGGCGGGGGTGTCCCCCGCCTCCCGTCTGCGTTTGCAGGAGGGTCTGCGCTGCGTGGCTGCTCCTCTGCCCTCACCCACTGACCGCTCCTCCCGGCTCCCCCCTCCCAGTCACGTGGCCTGCTCTGTGGGAACTCAGCCTCAACAACACTTTGATGGAAAAATTTATGAAGAATCAAATTATTGCTGCTGGGAGGGAATTAAAACCATTTTTCATTCCCCACGTCCCTGGGCCACGTCTGCGGGCGCCACCTTGGGAGCGCTGCGCGCATCCCATCCCTCTTTATGGCCCGCCATCACAGGCGCAGATTACAGCAGCAATTCTCTACTAATCGGTTCCGGAACAGAAATGGCCATAAATGCGAGGCACTCGGCCTGCCTCCCTTCCCGGGGCTGCCGTCAGCGCCGCCCACAACGAGCTAGCGGGGCGCGGCGGACGGGACCGATCTGCGCTCTGCCTGCTGCCCTGGCCTGGGCCGGGGCGCTCAAACGGGTGGGGGCGTCCCCAGCAACCTCTGCCATCTGCCGCTATTCCACTGAACAGGCTCCTACTCATCCTGCAGTGCCCCACTCCAACGCCACCTCCTCTGGGGAGCCTTCTTTGATGCCCCTGTCAGGGGGAAGTGGCCTCCTGTATGCTCACCCGAGCTTCCCTCGGCCTTCCTTCTACTGTGAAGTGGGGATGTCAACAGGACCTCCCTCGAAGGGCTGTTGTGGGGATTCCATGATACTGAGCTTGTAACTTGGTATGTAAGAATCACATCAGGGACAGCACATGCCTCTGTCAGCTTCCCATTCTGCAGGGGTTCCACAAGGTGGGGCCTGGCTCTACCCCATCCTCAAAAAGGCCTCGGTGAGTGTTTGCAAAGCGGGTGAGTGAAGGCTTGGGGTGGGCTGAGGTTCAGGCATACAGGACCCTGCTAACCCACATAGTGCGTGGCTTTGCGAGGGGAACATGGGCTGGATTTCAGCTCTGATTTGGCCCTTGGGCTGCATAACTTTGTTCAAGGCACAACCTACCCAACTGTCCATGTCCATGGTCACCTTTGGCAGAGGCCCCTAGGAATCTGGCTGGCTGTCCGGCTCTTCCAAGGGGCTAGGGAAGGAACCAGGCTGCCAGAACTTGATGCTCTGACATGGAGGCTGATTCTGCCCGCCCCCCCCCCCCCCCCCCCCCCCCCCCTGTCTCCTTCCCACACTTATACCTCCTGATCTAGGTGCCATGCTAAGGTCTGCAGCCCGGCCTCAGTGGCCCATGAGCAGACAGGCACTGGCTGCATCTCTGGGCCGGCCTGGTGGGGCCAGGGGCCCAGGCTGGGGTCGGCCTGGGGGCTGCGGCTCCTGGAGAGGAGGCCCTCTTAGGTAGGGGAGGGGGGCAGCAGGAGGGTGACCCGCATTTGCAGGCGCCGCTGCCATGCAGGCTGCTTTCAGAACAGCCGCGCTAATGCCTTGACGGCAGGGGGTCGATTGCTACTTTCTCCAAACTCATCAACACGATCTATTATTAATACTTCTCCGAAGGCTCCTGCCGCCATTACCGAGGCAGCGCCAGCCACTCGGGGCGTCATCTGTTATCTAGATTGCAAAAACTCGGGATATAAAACAAACTGCACACACTTTATAAACGGAATGTGCCATCCGCTTGGTCTCCAAGCATCTCTCCACCCAATAAAACATCGGGGGGGATGCATGAAATACTCACTCCCAATTATGGGGCTGCCTTTGTCTATGGAGCCAGGGCGAGCACGACTAACGCACGTGCGGGAGGGGCTGGGGTGCCAGCGGGGTCCCCTCCTCTCCCTGAACCCCCTCCCTCCCTCAACCCCTCCCATCGTGAAGGGCTGGTGGAACCGGCTGCTGAGAAGCAAGCAGGCAGGCGGGTGGCACTGGGACTGGATGGACTTGCATTCAATGCCTGGTTCCACCACTTCCTGGCCAGTGACTGGACAAGTGATTTCCTCTTTCTGAGCCTCAGCTTACTGATCTGTATAATGGGCTGAACAACACTGCCTGCTTCTTCATGTGAAGGTGCATCAAGTTGTCAGTGTCAAGCAGTGAGCACAGAGGGAGAGATCAGGGAGCTGGGCAGGCCTTTTGAGGCCTGGAACGAGCCTCTCCAGGAACGGTGCGCAGAAGCCACACATACTGACCAGAGACAAAGTTGCTCAGGCTGAGGAACTCCGAGCCTTCCTGCCCCATGGGGGCCCTGGAACCTGAGGGCAAAAGGCCCTGCCAGCATCTGAGGCACTGGATTTGGCGCCCAGGTCACGATCTCAATCTTGACTCAGCCACTCACTGGCTATGTAACCTGGGGCAAGTCTGAGTCTGGGTCCTCATCTGTAAGATAGGGACAAGAGTCCCGACTCCCCAGAATTGTGCTGGGGGTTCCAGATGCATGTGTTTCTGCTTCCCACACCTGGGGTGGAGGGACGGTGGGGTGGGAGGCCACCTGTGGCACCTGCCTCTCGGTGCCAATCCCCTGGTCCAGGCTCCTCCCCCAATCCAGGAACTCCAAACCAGAGGGCAGCTTCATGACCACAGCACAGGTACCCAGACTTGCCAGCAACCCACACAGCCCACCCCCATTCTCCATGTAAACTGTCACGCCTTTTCTCCTGCTATCTCTAATGTCCAGAACACCATTCCTCCCACCCTTGACCTTTGACAGCCAAACACCTGCTTATTCTGAAGGATTGAGCTTGGATATCCCTTCCTCCAGGAAGCCCCCCTTCTCCTCTCCAGTCGTAGATGTCTTCCTTGCTGTTTGGTATTTACTAGAAGGAATCCACTTTCCCTACTTCCAGGTCCACTTTTCCCGGGGTCACTCCTCTCTTTGGAGCTGAGTACAAGGCCCCAGACACACGAAGGTGAGGGGCAAATAGGCAATGAACGCTGAATGAACCAACACAGTCCCATCCCGCCTGTGAGGTAGGGCGGGTTGGTCCGACCCCGAGCCTGGTCTGGTGCGAGCACCCACCACCTGCCCTGCGAGCAGTGTTGGGGGTGGGGGGATGATGGAACCGGCAGCCCAGGGTTCCAACCTGACTCTAACTTTGTCCCTGAGTGACTTTGCTCAAGACATTTAACCTCTCCGACGCTCAGTTTCTTCATCTATGAAATGGGACAGGTGGTACCTTCCTACAGGGCTGTTGGAAGGGCCTACTGCATGCAAAGCCCTTGGCACAGTGCCAGGCATGAAGAAGGCACCCCACAGAGCTGCCTTTCTTTTGTTCTCTTGTTGTCCTTCTTGGTCACCCTCAATGGGGTCTCCATCACTCCTGGGAGTGGCCTTCCTGACATCAGGTTTACAGGTCCCAACCAAGCTTCCCCCTCATGACCACCCTGGGTTCTGGGTCCTTCTAGCTTCTGTCTGGCTTGAGCTAGACAAAGCACTCCTGGCTCAGTTCTGTGTGTGTTTGTCTGTCTGTCTCACTAATGTTACTGAGCTCAATTATTATCACTTGCATCACCTCATTAAGTCCTCTAAGAACCCTTAAGAAAAGACACTGTTTCCATCCCCTTTTTACAGATGAGGACACGAAAGCGCAGAAGGCAGGGTCAAGGTCATCTGGCAGCACTACCCCATACTCCTTCCCTGCTCTGTGCCTCCAAATACTTCTCTGCCCACCAGTCACCCTTGTCCTCTGCTGGGGGTACCATGCCCAGGTCTGTCTGCCCTCCAGGCTCTGAACACCCAAGTTCTGATCACTCAGCATAAGCCCGGCACCCAGCAGGTGTAGCTGAGCGATTTTTCTTAAACGAAACTGAATATGTCCCTGTCACAAACATATCCATCCTCCCCCAGGATCATCTGTGATTTCGGAGTAAGAAATTCCCTTTTTTAGGGACGTCCTTCCCGTGAAGAGTTCCTGTCTATGAGAACACATCTCTGTCTCCTCTGAGTTTTTACTGGTTTATTTGTTAAACGCTCAATTT